GGGGCCGGCGAGGCAGCTTGGAGATGTCGTCGGATGGGGAACCCCTGAGCCGCATGGACTCGGAGGACAGGTCAGTGCACTGAAGCGTCCCCCCTTCCCTTCCTTCTCTTGCGCTCCTGGGCCCCTTCGAGGGGGCCGGGGGGGACTTTTTGCTGAGATCCCCCAGCTCCCCGAGTCCTCGGCCCCTCCCCCCGGCTCTCAACTCGGAAATCTCTCCCGGCCGCCGCGCCCCTCTCGCTGCGGATAGCGGCTTCCAACTCTCAAACCCTTTCCCCCCCAACTCTCCTTTCCCCGCCCTCTTTCCCCTCGGCTCTGCACTCCGTACGGACCGAAGGACGGCTCTCACTCGGGAACAATCCCCAAAGTAGGCCCGGATCCTCCGGCGGAGCCGAAGAGGGCCTTGATGTATACACATCTCGGTACACAAGGTTAGCTTCATCCAGCCGTGTTCGCGAATACTTGTCAGAACTATAATTGACAAGTGTTTTCCAACATGGCTGGTCTCGCCTGGATTTAACAGAACTTCCTTGTTCAGGGAGGAGACCCCAACCATCACTTACTTTTCTCTACTTAAAAAAAAGAGAAGGCTATTCTTTTATATTTAATCAGCGCTTCCAGGATGCCTCTTGTGTGGTCATTAACATGGTCTCCAAAGTGATTTTGGTAACTTCTCCTATTTGGTTGGTGATCAAATTGGGGGGTTTAAAAAACGTATTAATCGTCGTATAAAAGAATAATGAATCGATGTCCTTTAGAATAACTTTGCGGAATCAGAGAGTTGGAGCTCGTAACAAAATTCAATCTTAGGGTGCAACATGTTGGTATACGTTTTAAAGTCTTTTTGTAGTAATACTTCAACGTGAGTCATGATTTTAGATGATAATATTTAAAGTCACGTATTGGCGAGATCTCTGAAGGGATTAGTATTTTTCTAAAGCTTCTTAGAAGTAACGTGGAGACTGACAAAAATGTGATTTACTTTTTTGGGACATTAAAAAATTTATTGCTATAGTTTGTTTCAGTTTTTATTATCTTTACTTTTGATCTCTGGAAAAACTTCATGTTTTAACTAATTGGTTTTTAATGTACTTTTTTAAAAGGAGAGGACCATGTCATGCGTATTATACGGCATCAAAAGTATATTAGCGGTTATTTTGACCATCTGCTGATGTTTTGATGAGCAGTAGAATTTTTAACAATCGATGTTGACTTGGATTCAAAAGTTCAAGTATTCTAAAGTTGTAGAAATTCCGATTGCTAACTAATAGAATTTGATGCTTTATTTTCAAAATATTTGAGGCTTTGTATTCCTTATAGCTTTAATATATAAGCCGATATATTCATTTTTATCAGTTAATAAATGTTTGACATTTTACCTTACTATCTAGTTAAGGAAATATCTTGGATGTGGTAAAATAGACTGTGCAAACCTTGGAAAAATTGTACTGGACTATTTACGCATGGCAGGAAGGAGAATGTCTTCAAGAAGATGAAAAATTGATGTGAACTACACAATGAGGCATATGTTATTTATCATTTTACTATGTACTTCTCCATTGGTACCAGGACCCAGTGGAGCAGTATATATTGGTACCTTTGAAAAGTTGACGTTAGTTTATGCAGTCAGCATCTGCCCCAGTTGCGCCATTTACCTAGTGTACACACCCACCCACCCACCCACCCACCTAGCACTGCACGATTTAAATGTCTCTATCATTTCATATTCACAACTCTGGTGCCAGATAGGTATTATTTTGACCTACATTTAACAGATGAAGAAGCAAGTTGAGTGTCTCACTCAAAACAGTAAGTATGGCATGAAAGTGGTGGAGCTGGACCTGAACAAAGGTCCTCCAGTCCCCTGCTGTTTCCACTTCTCAAGAGTCAGAAGAACTCACTTTAGACAACAGGCTACAAGCTTTATGTGTTAGGTTTTTCGGTTTTTGTTTTTTGGTTTTTTTTTTTTTGGAGTTGATAATCTGTCTACTACATCCTTTTAGGAGAAAGTGAATTATTGGTCAAGTAATATTTCAGGAAGTGGAGTTTTGGCTTCATTTCATTTTTATTAGATGTTCACTTGAATATGTAATTTTTATGTATTTCAGAGTAAAGAGTAAGATGTTGGTGCTGCAGGTTCAAATAAGGTTAAAACTTGATAACTAAACATACTTGCTTTTCTTGATGCTTAAACATTAGAGACTGCAAAATACTGTAATCATTTTATCATTTTACTATTATGGAGTAAGGGATTTATCACGGGTATTAAAAACTAGTGAAACTGGTTGTGGTCTTGATAATCTGAATTTTGAAATGCCTCCTTTCTGCCTTTGTAGGGTTTTTTTTTTTTTTTTAGTTTAAGTTTGTAAAGGATTTGTAGTTCTTATAAACTGTCCTGCAGATTACACCAACCTGTGAATTTTTTAGATTGATTTTAGAGCAATTTAGTAGGGAATCTTTATTTTTGGAACTAATGGAAGGGTATCGTGGTTTTAAAGTGCTTTTTAAAAAACATGAGGCAAGGACTGACTCCTATTGCAAGGATTTTATTATCAGAATTTACACTGTTCCTATTAGAACGCCCATTCAGGTTTTCTTTCACTTTGCAATTAGATTGTACTTTTGAATTTAACATACTTAACGTTGTTGAAATATCTTAAATATTTTTAACTGTAAGTACTTCTTTTTAAGAATTAACTGTAAAGACTTGGATAGTAAAGCTTGTGATCCACGGCGTCAGTTTACAACATGTGTTTGAAGTGTTGTGAAAGTGATCAGTTCATAAAATGATTAAATCACACTTGATACCAAAAACATTGATTATTTTTTTCCCAGGAGAAAGTTACTCAAAACCAGCATAAATGTATTGGTGTGTTTATTTTGGAAAAGTTAGAAACCTTTAAAGTTGATAGGAATTTACTTTTACTTTGGTTATGAAGGTAATGGAATTTTCTTTGCGGGGGAATATTTAGCTGTGTGAGGCCACTGAAAACTAGCTTTTGTTTTGCTTTGAACCTAAGCTTAAAGTACTTTTTTTTAAAAGTTACCAACTTTTAAGTTAATTTCAGAGGCTAAATTCTAAGTAGAATTTTAGAATTTAAAATCTCTCAAATCTTTTTAGTGTAAAAATTAGTTCTAGCTGTTGAATCAGATTATACATGAAAATACTCTTAGCTGCTTATCTGTATAAGTGAACTGATAGTAACAGCCTCTGTTTTGTGATTATTTGTCTCCTTTTTGTATTATGGTTTTTTTCCTCTCACCCAGAATGTGATAAGCCTTGACTTATTTTTGAAAAAAGCCACTTTCATCAGCCTTTCTGGGTAAATCGAGGTGTCAAGTGAAGAGTGCCTGCGTTAGAACAGGTGATAGGGAAGGGCATTTGGTATGAAACTTAATGATCAGCAGAGTCCGCAGGTCCTTACTGTTTTGTGGATTAAAATTTGGATTCCCAGCCTTACGGGTTGCAGACTTTGACACTGGGAAGACAGGGTTATGTTGCCCGCTTTCCCGGGAGTGTGATCAGGAAGATCTGTTTTCTAGTGTAGAGGCTAAACTTTTCAATCAGGCTAATACTAGAGGGCCGCATGTTAAGGTTATCAAGATCTCTCCCCGCTGTGTATGATTGAGGTACTGTTCTGCTCATATGTCATGATGGAACTGCTTTTCACTATCTCTTTCAGCTCTGAAGCAGCTGTTCATAGTCTCTTCAGACTCCCTCTTTTGGCTACCTTTAAAAAATTTTTTTTTGGTGGGAGAAGGGGGTAAGTAGGTTTATTTATTTATTTATTTATTTTTTCCATGGAGGTACTGGGAATTGAACCCAGGACCTGGTGTGTGCTAAGCATGCACTCTACCACTGGGCTATACCGTCCCCACGCTGGCTACCTTTTAATTTTAACTAAATTTAGGGAAGAGCCTCTCACAGGTCTGTTTTCATTGATCAGATATTGTAACCTTCAGTTAAGGAAGGTATGGCTCTGTGCTAAAAGCTAAACAAACAACAGTGAAACTACAGCTTTCCAGATTGAAACGGAGAGATTCTACAAGGTCTTTTAAGAAACATTGAGACCACTTCATTGCATGAGTTAGGAAATCTTGTGTGTAAGCTAGTTTGTTACCAAGCACAGGTATTTGCTATGTGTGGGAAGAACTCTTTACTGGATATTGTGGGAGATAGGAAATCAGAATGCTTTCTGCTTCACCCGTCTTGCATATTGCTTTGAAATTTTAACTCCAAGGTATAGTTTTGCCATAACACCTAGCACAATACTTCATTGACTCTAAACAAAGTTGGAGATTTCACATCTTGCCTATGGTATTATCTTTTATTGCTGTCTAACAAATTTCCCCCAGTTTTAGCAACCTAAAAGAACAAGCACATGGTTTCTGAAAGTCAGGAATAGAGGGGCTTAGCTGTCTGGTTCTGGTTCAGTCTCACGTTGCAGTGAAAGTGTTGGCCGGCACCGCAGTCATCTGAAGGCTTGACTGGGGCTGGAAATCCATTTCCAAGGTGGCTCACTTAATGTGACTTTTGACAGGAGGTCTTGGTTACTCACCAAGTCAGTGTCTCCAGAAGGCTATTTTTTGTGTTGTTAGGACACAGCAGCTAGTTTCCCCCAGAGCAAGTCATCAGAGAGAAGGAGAGCCAGGGATTTATGACCTAAAGATACCTGCTCACATTTTGTCCATACATCTTCATTTAGCAGATGGGGTTTTCCTGTTTTTCTTTTCATTCATACTATGACATAACAACAGTTGCTTCAGGTTTTTGTTGCCTGAGATGACATTTCAAAACCCATCAAAATGCCACGTTAAATTCTTTCCTGGTCGTTTAAAACTTGGCTTTAATTTCTTTTTCCTTTTAATTCCCATATTTGTATTTCATCTTTATTTTTTCTTCCTATTTCTGTTTCTGTTCTGTGGGTGGAGAGATGTAGAATATTGCAGTGTAAAGAGCCTGTAATAAAGAGTCAAAGGACACAATTCCATTCTTAACGCCACCTGTATCATGATTTAAGTAACATCTTTGACCTTTAGTTCCTCAGCTGCTAAACAGGGTTAGGTTTTACC